TCTTTCTTTCTTTCTTTCTTTCTTTCTTTCTTTCTTTCTTTCTTTCTTTCTTTCTTTCTTTCTTTCTTTCTTTCTTTCTTTCTTTCTCTTTCTCTCCATCTTTTTCCTTTTTTCTTTCTTCTTTTTTACCCTCATTTTTTTCCTACTTGTATGAGGACAGGGTAAAGGAATAAAAAAAGAACAACAACAACAACAACAACAAAAGAACAGGAATGTAAAGAAGGAAAAAAAATATACAGGTGGCAAAAACCTACTCAAAATATTTTATTTATTAAATCATAGGCTTTCTATAAACTTTTAAAGTGAGCTAGAAAGGTGTTTCTTTTAGTAAAGCATTGACCAGAAGTGGATTTACTGACAAAAGACAAGCAGTAGGCATAGAGAGACTGAGATTTGTGGGTTATTTTCCATTTCTGTTTCATGGTACTCATCACACGGACTCAGCAGTTTTGTTGCTTCACACACAGTGGTGCTTGATGTAAACTTCAGAGAGCAGAGTTTCTTACTGTGGGTTTTTATAGTAACAGACTCTACAGGCCCTAGGTTGCAAGTATTGTTTAAGTGCAATCAATAAATTAAAAAAAAATAATGGGAAAACAATGGGATTTTAGTGTCTTCCCACTAAAAAGTTGATGCCATGTGCTTTACTGTAAGGAAAATCGCCAGAAGTGTTTAACTGGATCTTGAGTGATTCTGCCTGTCTCTGGCTCGTTCTTTCACCCCACACACATTCATATTCCTCTTGTTTGCACAAGATCCAGCACTATTACTTTAGTACCTCCCAGAGCTCTAGCGGTACTAACTAATCTTGGAAAACCCCAGAGGCGTTTCACAAAAATAAGATCTTGGGCTCTGAAGGGGGCCTGATTCTTGATTCTTTTGCAAGAGCAGCATTCGGAGAGTGAGTTCCTTCCTTCATGCTCTGCTATGCCAGGCATGTGTGACAACTGCAGAGCTGTCATCGCAGCCCCTCTGAGATTTGGTCTCTTCCATACTCGGCTGCGAGTTTAAGAGCTGATGATTAAGTGACACAGTGAGGTCAGGGTGCATCTTACAGGCAAGATAGTGCTCAGCCCACCGCCAGTGTTAGCTAACGTCTTGGTAGCCCTTTCATGGTCACTTATTACTGGTGAGTCCCCAGAAGCACACGATGTCCTGATGTAGCAGGACAGGAGGAATAAACATCCTAGCTGGATTGTGGAGACCCCTGACAGCACACAGCTGCCAGATGCTGGCCGCTCTAAAGCCCTTTCAGACAGAAAGAGAGCCCTCGTATCCTTTTAGAAGCCAACAAGTGGGTCACCTGGGAGCTTGACTTCAGTTTTACAAATAAGAGATTGCAGAAGCAAGATGGAAGAAGGATCCAGACTTTGTTGAGCCAGTGCTCATCACAAGACTGATTCTTGCTCCTTTAGATCCTAAGTAAATGTTGTGTAAGAGCGGCTTTATTCCATGTCCAGCCCTGCTCTCTGTTACTAGCTGCATCTGACATGAAGGACTTGGTGTATAATCCAGGCACAGGTCATGTGGTGAAGATGTGGAGGCAGTTTGTAAACCTGGGTTCTCGTGGAGGAACAGAGTCCTTCACAGGCACTTCCCACACTGAGGGACAACGCTCCACATTGCCCAGCGCTGAGGCGATGCTCGAGGTACTATTTGAGAAAGTATTTGAGGTAATATTAGGGGAAGTGACAGTTCCTATTCCTTCCTGAGCAGAGGAAGGAAGACAACTCATGGTCAATCTGGAATGTAGCACTTACCAGATAAGAATTGTTGTCCCATACAGGAATGAGAAGAATTAAAGAGTATAATTCTCTGTAAGAGAAACTGAACACCTCCAGTTCTACTCCCTTCCTTGCTATCACATTATGCCTAAATCGTTCCCAAAGGACGTAAAACCTTGTAATAAATGAGATATCTTCTCCCTTAGGCAACCTCTCCCACCCCTTCCATATCTTAGGAGACCTGATTAAAACATAGCAGAGTTTTTCTTTCAATGGAAGAATACTGCAACAGAACCTACCAACGGGCTCTGGTAGACCCTGAGGTTCTCCAGAACCATGTTTGTTTTATTTTAGGTGACAACTAAATGTCAGTTGATTCTGGACCTGGAAGGTAAAACCTAGCTCTGCTCTATTGGCTCATGGGGATGCACTTGCTCTTCTCTTTCTAGATTGACAGCATGCAGGCTCTGCTTCACTGCCCCAATGTGCTGGTGTGTGTCGGCCGGGAGCCGTTTAAACCTGTATCGATGGAGAATTTGAGGAAACACTCAGTGGAGAAGCTGCCTGACCTGGCTCCCCGTTCCAATGGCAACAATGTCAATGAAAACAATGAAAGTAAGAAAAAAAAAACTCCGGGGTGTATTGCACAGTCATCTCCAGGCCTGTATCCCACAACATGGCGATTGCAGGCACCTATTGTACTGCCCCAGCGTGCAGATTTCATGTAGAAAATGCACTTCCCTCTCTCTGCCTCCCAGGCCTTTCCATCCTCCCCTTCTTTTTCTTTGGTTTCCTTCTAGGATTTCCTCCCTACACCCTCCAGTCTTTCTTCTACACGCTCCCCGTGTCTGGCTGACTTCCCTTCCTCTTTCATATCTCTGTGTCTCGTTTTCCTTCCAGAACTCCCTCCTTTCCTGTGTCTGCCTCCAAGACTCCCCAAATCCTTGAGATTTCCCACGAATCCTCTATCCCCTTGTCTGTCTGTCATATAACGCCTGCACTTGTGTACTTGCCTGCACCAGGACCAGAGGATGCCCTGGTTTTGTCAGCGGGAGACTCAGTTTCTCAGACTCTGTTATACTTTCTTTAAATAACTTTTAATTTCCCAGGGTGTTGAAGGGCATTTCAAACTCTGGACAACTAACAGCTACCTGCTGTGTAGTTCTTTGGAAACAAAGCTTGTTTTTATGGAAAAGTGATGTTCAGGAAGGAGTATGTTGTGGGTTATTCCTGATAATATTCCTTAGGCACTTCACCATGAGTTATCTAAGGTCGCAGGTAATTAAACCAGCCACCCTCAGTAGTCTATGGGGAGAAATTCCCATTCCATCTCACCATGTTAGGGATTGGTTTTAGGATGAAACTAGGTGTGCTCTGGAGGTGCACCTGTTTCTCTCCATTGTCAGCACTAGAATCCAGGAAAGATTCACTTGTGTGTTGACAACTAGTTGTCGAAACTTAAGGACAGAGTCATCCCACACTCACTGCTTGAGATATTAAAAACTGGAGGAAGCAGCGGGAATAAACTGAAGATTTGTCCATCAAGAGACTGAGCAAATATAAGGATGGTGAGATAGAAGCTGGTTCATGTGTTATTGATCTTGGCTGGTGTGCTCCCTGTTCAACATTTCCTTCCTAAAACACCCTCCATTCAGCTGCATATCCCTATGCCTACAAAGGCATGTGGATGTCTAGATATGTAAAAGTAAACTTTGAACAAACATGTATTAGAAACAAGATAGATGCATATCTTGCAAGACAGCACGATAGCAATGAACTCTGCTTGAAACGAAGGGTCTAAGAGCTCAATAAATCTATAGAGATCACTAGACTTGGCCATAGAGATGTGCTTCAGATTACAATCCTTAAAATTCCTTTTCTATCACTCATTTCCTCTATAACTACCATCATTTCTTTTTGTAGTTATCACCGCTTACAATTTCTTTTTTTTTCATTTGTCCTTTATGTTTTAATAAGCATTATAGTTATCCCTAGTGGCACATCCCCACGGGGACTGAGTGCTGCTCCGGTCTACATGGCCACAAGATTCTTTCCTGGGACTTGATTGGAGAAGTGGATGATGCACAATAAATGTGTGACACGACCTCTAACTAAGGAAAAAGATCACTTCTCCATGTATTTTTCCCTGACTGAATAAGAAGGATGAAAAGTTTCATGGTTAAATAAAGGGGTATTTGCAATGTAATAAAATACAGAAATTTGAGACTAAATTTCTTTTTACATATATTTATTTTCTTCCTGACATGCACATAATACAGCCAAAAAAAATGTTCGTGTTTCAATTTAGATTGAAAAAAAAATAATAAAGTTAAGGTACAGAAGATTTTAGTACAGACTGTTCATTCAAAACTTAACATTTATGGCCATGACTTAGTCAAAGCCAAATTTTCAAATTATCTAAACTGACACAGGCTTAGCTTTAATGGAATAATAGCTGTACTTTGAGGCTTTGATCTATGTATTTTCTGTCATCTTTATATGAGTTAACATTTCTCCCCCTCTTTCTTTTCTTTAATTATTTCAAACCCCAGTGAACTTTGGACTGAAAACCAAAAAGAGTGTTATCCATCCGCGGTCAGCATCAAGCAATAGGTCAATGAGATTTTCTTTGTCATCAGAAAAGTCATACTCTAATGGTCTTGCTACCTCACCGGATAATAGCGCACCTTTCTCAAATAGTTTCTCACATTCAAAACCTGGGGACCTCGTCCATTCCTTTGTCAATGACGACATAGAAAAACGGGTACACGTGAACAAGGATGGTAGCCTGTCCGTTGAGATGAAAGTCCGCTTCCGCTTGCTAAATGATGAGACTTTGCAGTGGTCCACACAGATCAAAAAATCCAATCTGATGAACCAGATGCCTTGTGAAGAGTCGGGTGTAGAGGAGGTCAGTGGAGTAGACCCCATACAGCAAATGAACCCAGAAGCCAGCTCGGAGGCAGATGAGTCATTATATCCTGGTGATATTGATTCTTACATGTCAAAACTTGAGGAATCAGAATGTGATGAGTTTCATTGTCATAGCTGTGGAAAGAAACACCAGGATTATGACATTTGGAAGAACCCCATGCACACATCCCAGAGGGAAGAGCCCAGTGTACGCAGCACCTGGCATACGCGGTCGTCATGTTCCAGCACGTCTTCCCGGAGAAGAGTGGTCCACAAAAAAATGGCTTCTGTGGATAGCCTCCAGACCACGTCCAGTGAGGAATTCTCTGAGCACTTTGTGCAAGAGTCCTCATCCTACTCAGAGACTATAGAGAACAGAGTGGCATATAGATCCATTAAAAAGTGTACGTGTCAAAGTGAATTGTCTACAGGTCTTTCTAATGGAGAAGACAGGCAAGAATACACTCGGACAAGCACAAGCAATAGTCAGAGACCTTCATCCTTGGGTTTAATGTCACGTTCAAGCTGTGAGAACAACCTGGATACTCCAGATGCCCCCGAAGACCATGACACCAGCAAAACCAATTCACAAAATGAAGATGAAAATTGTTTTGAAGTTTCCTCCGTGAAGTGCTTCAAGCATGATGTGGAAGAGGTTGGAAGCAGCAGAGTTGGAAGTGTCATGTCAAGGTCATCTCTGCAGTCCAGACAGAGCAAGAAGAATGTATGTGAGGAAACAAGCAGCATGGGCAGGAGCATGTCTTCCTCAAGCCTTCAGAAGGCAAATCAAGAATATAACGCTGGGTGCTCGACTCCTGCCAACAGTGTGTACAGCAAGTCTAGTAACTATACCAAGACGAGAGCAAAGAGTGAAAGGGATGACCACTCTGATGACAATGCAGTGGTCTCCTCCTTCTCCAGTGAGTCCTGTCCTAAGAAAGAGATTGAAGAGGTTGAAGCGGAACAAGAAGAAAAGGAAGCCAATGAAGTCAGCTCTGTGTCAGCAAAAACAAAGCCCAGCCAATCAGTTAGAGATGAGAGTAGTGAAGGTGAAGGATGCTCTACAAAAGAATCCACCTATTCCAGAGCTAGTGGCAGGAACAGCAAGAGAAGCGACAGGGATGGGAGCATTCCGTGCAATGCCTCTCGCTCTTCCAGAGGATCCAAAAAGAGCAAACACAGCGATACTCCTTTGGATGTACAGTCTGAAATGTCTGTGTCTTCGCTTGAATCCACGCTGAATAAAAAGAATTCCTTACATACAGACGATCTGAAATCATGCAGCAGGGCATCTAATTACTCCAAAAGCTCATGTGAAATCAAGAAGAAATCTATTGGAGACCCCATGTCTCATACCTCAGGATCTTTTCACTCAAACATTTCATCTGCTAGTGAAGCAGAGGCAATTGCAGCTTATACTGATGAGAAAAGCTTGAAAAGTGCCACCAGTGGCTACAGTGAATCTTCAAAAGGCTCAAAGAAGAGAAACCATAGAGTAGAAAATAGCAAGCCATCATCCATCTGCTCAAGTGTTTCAAACCCTAATGCAAAAGCTGGAGAGGTCCATCCCAAGATTAAGTCAGAGGCCCCTTCTTCAAGACAAGGAAGTATGAGTGAGAGCGTATGTTCAGGAGTTGACCACTCAACTGAGGCTGGGATTAGGAATGGAAATCCTGAGAGTGTCTCTTCAAGAGTCTCTTCGAAGTCAGAAGTAAGAGATAAATGTTTGTTGACACAGATATCCCAGGGAAGTGATGATAGGTGTTCACAATCAAACATATCTCAATCTTCAAAATCAAGGCAGATAAAAACTAGGAATCTTCATGTGAAGATTTCAAACTGCAGTCAAGCATCATTGTCTGAGACTTTGTCAGTATGTAGTTTGCATTGCCCCACCCCACCAAAAGGAAAGCCAAACAGCAAAAAAATACGTTCAACCATGTTGAAGAATTCCTCCGTTAGCAGCATAGGTACTGAGTCAATGCTAACCACAGGAAGAGAGCAGAAAGAAATTTTAGATTCCTCTCAAGCAACTTCCTATGGATCTAAATCAGTTGCAACTGAAATAAATGATCAGAAGAATAAAGAAATTGATGGTTCTTGCAGCAGAAAAGTAGAGGAAGAGTTAGAAGGCACAGACATGCAGGAGGAAGGGAATGATTTAATGCCATCTGTTCTACCAAATACATCTCCAGAAGAAGTTGTGCAAGAATGGCTAAGTAAAATCCCTTCAGAAGCATTGCTTCTGAAATACGAAATGGAGGATGATGCAGAAGAGGAACACATAAAGGCAACCGCTGAGGTATCACGCTGTGAAAATGCTGAGGAAATCTCAGAGGATGAAAAAGCTGATAAAAAGAATGTGGAGGAGGATAAAAACAAAGCAAAGGATGAAGTAGAAAAAGAGACAGCAGAAGACACTGCTGTTAATGAAAAGGCTGAAGAATGCATGAAGCAGGAACAAATCTCTGAGGCTGTGTCCAAAGATGCCAAAGCTGACCAGGCAGAATGCAGCCAGTCAGTTACATCCAGCCAAAACAACAGAAGAGACCTGCCAACCTCTGTCCAGACTTCTGTCCAGATCATGAAGGCCTTGCTCAGTTCAAAACATGAAATAAAATTTGACCGATCAAACAGTTTGCCTGAAGTGTCCCCCACTATGGGCAGAAAAATGAGTAACTCTGCCAACGTATTGATTACTTGTCTTGCCAGCCTCCAACTCCTTGATGAAGAGTCAGAAGGTCCGTCAGATAAACCAAAATATTTGAATAAAACAAGGTATATTGAGCTGCTAAATATTTTTCAAGACCTGTGGTTTGGATGCACAGCTGAAAAATGTGGTCCAAGCTCAGGCCAGGAGGCAAGTGAGCAGGCAAAGACAGCCTCTGGTTTTAAAGTCCCAAAATCTGTAGGTTATGGCTTCACTCCCATGTCCTCCTCTGGGGTTGATGTTAGCAGTGGTTCTGGTGGCTCAGGAGAAGAAAGTACAGCTGGTGCCAGGGACAGCACTTTAATGGCACAGAAACCTGTTGAATTTAAATCAGCTGGACAAGTGGAAAATGTAATGACTGGCAGTGAATTGACTGAGGCTGAGGAGCAAAGTAAAAAAGAAGTGCAGCCATTCCGACCTTCAAAGGCATCCTCAAAATCCAAAGGCGAGAAAAAAGTACAGTCTACTAGAGAGGACTTGCTAATTCAGGAGGCAGAAGAGAATAAGGAGGCTCGGTGCAGTAAGTGTGAAAACGATCAGAAGGAAGGGAAGGCAAATAAAAATACAGAAAACAGCAACTTACTTGAAAATGGAGAACAAGAAGTTGAAGGTGTGAATGATGAGCTCCCAAAAGAAAATCTTGAAGGGGAAGACGATCAGCTCGCCACTACTAATGATACAAATGTCAATGATACCGATTGTGGGACAGAACTGAAAGCTGATTTGGCAGAGCAGCTTGAAAAAGAGTCTGCATGTGATCCAGAGCTCAAAGTCGATACTGCCACCACTGTGGGCACATCCCTTGCTCAGCAAAACTCAGCAGATCCAACCTGGATCCTAAGACTGCTCAAGAAAATCGAGAAGGAGTTCATGGCTCACTATGTCAGTGCCATGAATGAGTTCAAGGTCAGGTGGAACCTGCAGAACAACCAGCAGACGGATGAAATGATACTGGAGCTGAAGGAGGAAGTGAGTAAAAGGATACAAAAAAGCATAGAGAAGGAGCTGAGGAAGATCAAAAGCATCACAGGGAAGAAGACACCAAGACCTCCGGATGAACCACTCAGGCGTGAGTCAACACTCCAAACTGAGCAGAGGAGACGGCGATTGCAAACTATGCATAAAAAGTCACTCTTCAGTGACAAGAATGGAACTCAGACTAGGCAAGAGGACTCAACAGACTTATCATTTGATATAGATGAAGATACAGTATTTAGTGCAGCTTTTGAGGCCAGTATTAATACACAAACAAGTGAGGAGGAATACTGTCCATGTGACTCTTGTGTGAGGAAAAAATTGGCTTCCAAGCCCACAAGAAAACCAGTGGTGGCCAGCAATGCCCCAGTCATGAAAGCATTTGATTTACAGAAAATCTTGAAATTGAAGAAAAATGATGAGGAAACCTGTGTCTCAGAAGCAGCCCAGGATATCAGAACAATTCCCAGAAGTTCTGTGGAGGAAGCAGCAGAAAATGGAAATCCAAATGAGGAAAATGTTGAGGGTGAACTCCGGCCAAGTGATGAAGTGGAAGTGAAGGGCAATGAAGTGGGCAGGTCAATGCTGAACAGAGATGGAGAAGAAACTGAAATATCGGAGAGTCAAAACTGTGAGGTGGAGGATGAGGTTAAAGATGAAGAAACCGAAGAAGAAGAAAAGGAAGAAGCAGAAGCGGGGGAAGAAACAAAAGAGAAAGAAGAAGAGGAAGAAAACGATGAAGGGGAAGAGAAAGAGGAGGAAGAAATAATGAAGGCAGAAGAAGAGGATGCAACAGAAGAGGAGGAGGGACAAACAAAAGAGAAAGAAGATGAGGAAGTAAAAGAGGAAGCAGCAGAGAAAACAAAGGAGGAAGAGGAAATAAAAGAGGAGGAAGAGAAGGAAGAGGAGGAGGAGGGAGAAACACAAGAGGAACAGGAGGAAGTGAATGAGAAAGAGGAAGAAACAAAAGAGGAGGAGGAAGTGAAGGAGGAGGAGGAAGAAACAAAAGAAGAAGAGGAAGTGAAGGAGGAGGAGGGAGAAACAAAAGAGGAGGAGGAAGTGAAGGAGGAGGAGGAAGAAACAAAAGAGGAGGAGGAAGACATGGAGGAGGAGGAAGAAACAAAAGAAGGGGAGGAAGACATGGAGGAGGAGGAAGAAACAAAAGAGGAGGAGGAATTGAAGGAGGAGGAGGAAGAAACAAAAGAGGAGGAGGAAGACATGGAGGAGGAGGAAGAAACAAAAGAGGAGGAGGAATTGAAGGAGGAGGAGGAAGAAACAAAAGAGGAGGAGGAAGACATGGAGGAGGAGGAAGAAACAAAAGAAGGGGAGGAAGACATGGAGGAGGAGGAAGAAACAAAAGAGGAGGAGGAATTGAAGGAGGAGGAGGAAGAAACAAAAGAGGAGGAGGAGGCAAAGGAGGAGGAGGAAGAAACAAAAGAAGAGGAGGAAGACATGGAGGAGGAGGAAGAGGGAGCAAAAAATGAGGAGGAAGGCGTGATGGTGGAGGAAGAAAGAAAAGAGGAGGAGAAAGTGCAAGAAGAGGAAGAAACAAAAGAGGAGGAGGAAACAAAAGTAGATGAGGAAGAAAGAAAAGAAGAGGAGCAGGAAGTGCAAGAAGAGGAAGAATATCCAAAAGAGGAGGAGGAAGAAACAAAAGAGGAAAAAGAGGGAGCAAAAGAGGAGGATGAAATAAAAGAAGAGGATGAGGAAGCAAATGGGGAAGAGGAAGAACAAGAAGAAGAAACTCAAAATGAAGAGCAGGAAGTTGAAGAGAAGCCTCAAGCTGAAGATGAAGCTGACATTGAAGCTGAAGAAGCAGGGGAGCCAGAGGATAAGGACATTGAAGATGATGATGAGGAAGAGGCATCCAAATGCAGAGGAGCTGCTGATGGCTCTGGACCTGACAACAGTCCTGCAGGAGATGCCGCGGAAGGAAGTGAAGAAGTTGAGCAGGATGAAGCTGAGGCAGTGGAAGATGAAAATCCAGGATCAGAAAATGAGGCAGGTGCAGCTGAGGAGGAAGACAACAGTGAAGGTGGTGACAAATATGACGAGAAACCTACCAGTGATGACCCTGGCAAGGCACATGAAGAAGATGAAGACAAAAGCAACAAGGTTTCTGAGAGCGCCTCAAAGGCCACGGGCAGAAGAAAAAGCAAAATGCTAGAGGGTCCAAACAAAGAAACCATCTTTTCGTGCTCTTCTTCTATAGGAAACTTGTCCCAGCAATCCCAGAAGGGGTCTGAAGATGAAGGTGAAGATGAATGCGAAGATGACAACAACCCCGCGAGCAACCATTCCAATGGAGGCGTTCAAAGTGATGGGAGCAGCAAACCCTCACAGATGTATCCTGACAGCGAGGAGGAAGAAGAGGACAAAGCATCTTCATGTACTGATCCCCTGGGAGATGAGGACCAGGCAGATGCTGAAGGTGCAGACCCAAAGGAGGTCGAGCATGCTGATGAAGTTCAGGCTTCTAAAAAGAATGAAGGCTCTGATGAGATTGAGGAGGAGGACCTGGACTTCTAGAACTGCTTATCAAAAAAAACCTGATTTTTTTTCTTTCTTCCTTTGCTTCTTTTTAAAAAGTATATTTTCGTTATCTATTACAGTATCTCCAGTGAGCTGAGCCATCATAACTGGCTTTTCTTCTGAGTTAAATGCGGTAAACTTGATCTTGAATCCTGCGAGTAACGCTGCAATTACCTGCCCTCGTTTCTAGAGGGCTAGTAAACTCACCAAGAGTTAGCGGTTCCGATAGAAAGGTGGTCTGGGGAAAGGCAAGGCTGTTTTGTTTGTGATACCTTCTTGTTCCCACGCTTTAAGTCATGCTGTTTGCTGCTTGAGTGATCTGTGGCTCTGCTGGGCATCATCTCTGAGCGACTTCAGGATGCCTTTCATCTGTTGCATGCCATTTTCCTGGAAAGACTGCCAATCCACAGAAACACGACAAAATCCGGAATCATTGCCAAAGTCTGGTCAGAGCCCACAGAGATGTACATTCGTTTCCCCCGTCCCTACCCTATCTTCCCTTCTCTGTACCCAGAAAAGTCAAAGTCTTTCCCCACTTGCCCTCTTTAGTAGAGGTTGAGATCATTCCTCACTTCACCAGAAACCCTCAGCACCATGAAAGGTCATTCCAGTAGATCTCTCCTCTTCCAGACCACCCACCTGTTTGTACTGTGCTCATCACTGTAGTATGTAAATGTGTAGCAGTAGATGAGTTAATTCACCTGTCAGGTATCTGAGAAGTGGTTAAATATTGACCAAATTAGAAACGAGTAAAGTTCAGTTCCTTGTGCTAGCCTTTACTATGCCAACGATGGCATCTAAGCACTTTACAACCATCTGGGATCCCTCAGACAGTTTTGTACGAGGCCCTGTTCTGAAGATAACAGCATCTGCAATTGCTCAGTGCCTCACCTCTGCAGGCAACCAGTGAAATTTAAACTAATTTTACCTTTAACATGGAAAAGACTTGGGCGTTTGTCCTGCAGCAAACAGCTGGAAGAGGCTCAAGCATTTACTGGAGAGGTTGGACTTTACAAACCACAGTAGAACTGCAAACTTCATTTAACAACTGTTTTTTACCACAATATTTTTTTTTTCTCCTTGGGGCAACATATACGATTCTGAATAAACGCCTAACTAATGCCAGGAGAAGTCTGACTATACCTCAGCTGCATACATGTGTATACCTCTTTGGGAACCAGTCTGTTTTATCAATGATTTGCAGGAAGAATAAAACAGCAAAAAAATAAGTGAGCGTGAAAACAAAATGCCTTAAACTGTATGGTAAAAAAGTATGTGTGTGGTATTGTATCAGGTTTGTGATGGTGCATGCAGTCGTGTTGAAATAATCAATAATCAAAATCAAATAATTAATATTGTTATCATTTTAAGAATCAATTTCTTAAACTCATAGCAAATCAGTCGATTTCCAGAGATAAGTGGCTTGTTTGTTTTTTTTTTTTTTCCACTCACATTCAGAACTGGGTTCTGTTCCATACTTAATTTTAGGTTCTATAGGGCTCTATAAGGAGTATTCAATGGGCCTGGGCCTTCCTAAAAAGAAGGGTAACCCTACCTGTTAGCCTCATGTGGATGTCTTGGGTTTCCTAGGATGTCTCAGGTGGAACCACACCTCTCCCTAGACGCAGCTCAGTTGAGCCCTGACTGTCTCGAAGTTTGGTATCTTGTCTCATCTGGTAGTCTCAGTTCCATCTTATTTCTGTAGATATTTCCATATCTAAGATTACCAACTTTCAGACAGATTAGAGTCTATGTAGTTGTTTAAATACAGATGTTTGGTGCCAGCTGAGATGACCTAGGGAATCCAGTATCAAGCCCCAGTGTTGGTCTAAAGGGGCGCAGATCTCCAGAGTCCTATCACAAGCTCCTTTTAAATGTCAGGGATGCTCCAGGGCATCTTAAACTGTGTTAGTCAGAGATAAAAAAAAAAAAAGAAAAGAATCCATCCCTCAAACTGTGTGAACAATCCTACCTCAGGAAACTGAAGTACAAGGTTAAAACTAAACGTTAAAATTCAGCTGGCGTTGATGTGTTTAACCCCAGCCAGCAACTCAGCCCCACACAGCCGCTTGCTCGCACCCCCGGTGGGATGGGTGAGACAGTCAGAAGAGTAAAAGTGAGAAAACACGTGGGTTGAGATAAAGGCGGTTTAATAAGTAAAGCAAAAGCCTCACACACAAGCAGAGCAAACCAAGGAATTCATTCACCACTTCCCATCAGCGGGCAGTTGTTCAGCCATCTCTGGGAAAGCAGGGCTGCACCGTGCATAACGGTTACTTGGGAAGACAAAAAGCCCTGACAGAGAATATCATTCCCTTCTTTCTGCTTCCCCCAGCTTTACACGTTGATCATGACAACGTATGGTGCGGGATATCCCTTTGGTCAGTTGGGGTCAGCTGTCCCGGCTGTATCCCCTCCCAGCTCCTTGTGCCCCCCAGCCGACTCGCTGGTGGGGTGGGGTGAGAAGCAGAAAACGCCTTGACTCTGTGTAAGCGCTGCTCAGCAATCAGGAAAACAGCCCTGAATTATCAACACTGTTTCCAGCACAAATCCAAAACGCAACCCCAGACTAGCTACCGTGGAGAAAAACTGTCTACCCCAGACAAAACAGCTACAGGAAAATGAAAACTTACTCTTCTCTGACACAACAATCCTTACAGGTTTTCTGGTATCTCAGCATTGCATTAACAGGTTAATTCCCACATTTAGAGCACGTGATGAACACCACACCTGCTCCAAGGGCCACTCCTGTAGCTTCTGTACCATTAAACATCCCTTGAAGGTGCTATGTGAAGGTTCAAGCAGAAATTATCATGCATGAGCTCAGGGCTGGGCTTTGCACCTAAGTGAACATTGCTTGTATGAGCTGGACTTGACTGTAAATGCCTTCAAGCACCCACCATTCACCAGACTTGACAGTCCTGCTGAATCCTCCTTGTCTAGACCTATGCTCATGGTTAAAGTCAGCACCCACACAGCATCAGTGATCCCTCTGGCATTTACTGTCTGGGTCAGAAAGAAGCAGCACAGCCGCAGGGCACTTTTCCCCTTCCGCAGTGATGTTCCATGACATCAGTATTCTGACTCTCTTTCCAAGGTTGCCACAAACCAATTCCAAAACCCTTTTTAAGGTGTCCAGCATGAGAAATGTCAAAAAATGCAGTTACATCCATTAATTTATAATTAAGTGAAAGGCACCAAGGAGAAAGTGACTGCTGGACTGGATTCATGCCACTAACTCTAGACATGTGCATGAGGTTTTTGGCCTGGGTTCTCCAGGCAGTTTGAAGAGGCAGGGTCTTGCAGCAGTTATTCAGGGTGTGACACAGGACGGCCATCTGGAGGGGTGAAGTCCATGGACTGTAGCATCCTAACCCAGGCACTTTGAGCAAACATTGGAATTCAGGCTGTGACTACCTCTGCAGCTTGAAAGTTGGCCAGGTACCACCAGGCTGATTGGGTCAAAACCCAGCCTAGGGACATTGGGTGAAGGCTGGGGCATCTTTGTTCACTGATGCCTGCTAGGGAGCTATTCCGCATGCCAGAGAAAAGGTGTTTGTCACTGAAAGAAACCTGTTATTCAGTGCTTGTCAGTCCCTGCAGGCAAATGGCTGGCCCAGCACGGCTGCTCAGTAGCCCTGCAGTGTGTGTCTTTCCACCTCGGCAGCGACTGGCTTGGTACCAAGTCGTGTAGAAGCATTTTGGTTTCATAGGGAGCCAGGCGAAATGTCTGCTTTCTGATGGATTCTTGCAGCATTCAGAAAGGCACAGAGCCAGGTGGTCATAGCTCTGACCTTGGCATAAGACGTACACTGAAGTGGTACTCATTGACTTAACATTAAACATTCCTGGTGAAGATGTCTCCCTCTGAGCCTGCCATCCAGAATCCCACTACAACCAGCGGGGTTAGAGAAGCAAAGAAGAGCATGATTCATCTGGTGTAGACAACGACATTAGGAGATGAATTACACTCTCGGCAGGCCCGTTTCTCTCTGCTGAGTGCACAGGGAGCCTAGACAAGTTTCTCAGATGGAGATTTCTCACGTGGGAAGAGCTGGTCCCAGCGTAGCTACCCAAAGCCATCTGACAACGTTTATGGGGGTGACTTGCAGACTGCCAGGCAACAGCTCAACTCAGTCACCCCATGGAAGTTTTAAAAGTGTTTTTTGCCTCCGAGATCCCCCTTCTCTGCTATTGCTAAAAGCTGCTGCTGGAACTTAACAGGTGAGTTAAAGCGTGAACATTTCCCAGGATTTCTCCTCCAGCTGTTGACTTTGCTGCTTTTAAAGCTGCTTGCACACAGTCAACGTCACACCCTACCCATGTTGAGTCGGTTTGTCCCCCGCTTGCAGCAAGGAGAAAGAAGTCAAGTAAAACACAAAATGCAAGCATCAAACCATGAAAAACTGAAACCACCAGAGTTCCCCACCATGGGAGACCAGTCCCAGTCCTGCCCGCGTGTGTCACCGTCTGCGTTCGGGCAGTGACTCAGGCGTGTGCCCGTCCTCGTCAGGGCAGCGCAGGCTCCGCACCCATCCAGCCTGCTCACAAAAAGCCCCATTCAGAGGGGCTTTGACAGTCGCAATGTCAATCCAGGAGACAGATTTTGCTGAAGGAGGTGTTTCTTCCCTCCATCAGTCTCTCCCAGGATCATCCAGAGCATCCACTAAGGAAAGGCGAAGCCAAAAAGGATCCCTTGCAGTTACATCTCTCGCACTTGCACTGCTTCCAAAGTTTACATTTCCCCTTGGCTGGTATGACTCACGCGCGTGTTGAGTCTTGCAGCTTCCCTCTCCCTCTTGCAGCACGGGAACACATGTTACCAGCCAGCTCCCAAGTTGTCACGTTTATACCGGCTGGGAAGATAATGCCTGTCACCACCCGGAGGGGATTACAGCTGCGGTCTTTCAGCAGGGCTGAGGAGGAGGGAGGAGAGGCAATGTGAGACTTGCACAGCTGTACGGCGTGTTTGAGTGCGCATAGCTGTATCCCAGGTT